TGCTAATAATGACGGAGTCGCAGACATAGATAGATGCGGCTAACTGAATGACATCATGACTTGAAAAATAGGTTGACCAATATTGAAAATCTATTTGCGACCGTCCAATGGCATGTCCAGCCATCGGGCATAGATTAAGACCAAGTAGAACCAAGCTTTTCCCAGTCAGGAGGAGATTTCCAGATCTTGGGCGCCCGAGGTCCAGTCAAAAAATGAATCATGGGCCAGGGGAGGCTCGAACTCCCGATTTCGGCTAATATTATCATGACAACGTCCCATAGAGAGACCATCGCATAAGAGCCACGCCTTAACCAACTAGGCCACAAGCCCGCGTTGTACCTCTATTTTTGGTCGAGCTGCTCATAATTCCCTGACATTGTATCTACATCGGTACCCTTACAGACCCACCTGTACCGACACAGTTTATCAGTCTTCACAATGCTTTCTTTGGCCAGCGTGCATCTTTTGGACCTTTAAATGAAAAAGGGTCAGGTGATTTTGTGGTCGCATCTTCGACTCAATGAAAATCATTGGAAATTAAAGGGGATAGCTGAAGTAAAAGGGTTCGGCCTGTGGCCTTGAAGAAAATTTTGGTTGATGGTGTGGATCACGTGTGGACTCGGCTTTTTGTTGTTCCGCGGATCATTTTGACAGTTTTGGCGGCAATGGAATTGGCCAATCAGGTTCATCCAATCGGCTCCGTGTTTATTGTCTGTTCCTGACTTCTTCTATTTCAAGATCCTACCGATGCTGTAGAGGATCTTCATGGACGGTGCAATCAATGAATTCAGTCCTCTTTCTATCTTACTATTAGTCCCTGTAATCCTGATCTGCCAATCAAGTGTAGGCCTCAAATGAGGGGTTTTGCAGCTTCGCTCTATGTACTTTGAAGAGCCGAGAGCTTAAGAATGGCTTTGACGTGACCATCACAACATACTCGACTCGGCGCTGAACGCGCCCCCCTCGGAAAAGATCACGCATTATGGCTCTTTATTTTTATACTAGTCAATGCCTTGCTGATCTTGATTTACCTCACCTCACCACCTCCTACCCATCTCTCTTTCTCATCCTTCTTCCCCACGTGCACTGCCCATTCAGGAACGATCAACAACGCTACCCACCGCCAAACAGCCACTCCCGTGTCCCTCCGAGATGACCAAGTTCACTCTTCATCTCCAGTGGCTCTGGTCCCTGGTCCCATTACTCGTAATGCAGGAAATTTTGGGAGGTCTGGTTCCAAATGTCACGGCGTTCTCACTTCCTGGCTTGTGCTCATACGTCGCTGGGCCGGGATTCCCGACTTCGGCATTTGGGTAGGGAATCATTACCGAGGAGCTTGGGGTAACGGTCCAAATCTAAAGCTAATCTGATCCGCAGATCCTACTATGTCTCCCCTGCTCTGCCAACCCGGGAGCCTCAGCCGATCATTTACGATCCCGTGCTGGATCTCACCTTTCCCTATGAGCTGACCAATCCATATATTATCCCCGAGAGTTCGGATGAGGTGTTCTATCCTGTGCCGAAGGGAAACCTGAACTCGCACCAAAAACACGCCTTGGTCGAGGGTATCAAGACCAATGTTTCCGAGATTATCAAGTCCGGGGGCTCGGAGACCCGTTGCTCAAAATGCAAGAGGGCATTGGCAGCGGCCAAGCCGGCTGCCTTATACGCTCCGCTCCTGGTGGCGGATGCCTTGATCAGCATGTGCACGACTTTCGGTTTCAAATCTGAGGATGCCTGCGAGGAGACCTTTGCCCCACAGGCTTTCGGTGCTATCTGGACGCAGGTCCTAGCTTATGCCGATGTAGAGGGTCTGGATGGGCAATATATCTGCCATTATCTCAAGAGTGACTTTTGCGAGCAGCCTCAGACCCAGCACTTGGATACATCCAAGCTGTTCCCCAAGCCCAAACCAGCGCAGGTGCAAGTACCAAAGGCCAGTGGAGAGCGTGTCAAGGTACTCCACATGTCAGACTTTCATCTTGATGCGCGCTATGCGGTCAGTGCGGAAGCCGACTGTACGGGTGGACTGTGCTGTCGCAGCGACAAGCATCATGCTGGCTCGGAGGATCACATTGTCTCTCCAGCCTCCGCTTATGGGGCTTTCCGTTGCGATACCCCGTACGATCTAGGCCTGGCTGCTCTGCAGGCCGTGGGACCTTTGACCGGCACTGGTCAGGGCTGTAAAGAAGAGTCTCTGGCATGGACTCTTTACACTGGCGATCTGATCTCCCATGATCCCGAGTCTCAAATGTCTCGTGAATACCTCGAATACACCGAGACCAGCGTCTTCCACATGTTCAAGAAATACCTCTCAGGGCCTGTCTTTGCGGCTTTGGGAAATCACGACTCCAGTCCGGAGAATATCGACTCCCCGCATAGCCTTCCCGGGCGTCTTGGAGAGCAGTTTTCTTGGAATTATCGGCATCTAGCTGGTCTGTGGCAGCACGAGGGGTGGATCAGCAATAGGACAGCCGAGGAAGCGCGGACACATTACGGTGGTTATTCCATCAAGACTCATTTCGGGCTGCGTGTCATTGCTTTTAATACGGGTATGTTGATCACCAGACTCATTGGCGGACTGGATAGGCTAATGCTGCCATAGACTTCTGGTACAAATCTAACCTCCTCAATATGATCAATACCACCAATCCAGACAATGCAGGTGTCTTCTCTTGGATGATCGAGGAGCTCCAAAAGGCCGAGGACACGAACGAACGCGTCTGGCTCGTTGGCCATGTCCCCAGCGGCTGGGATGGCAGCAACCCAATCCCAGATCCCACCAACCTCTTTTACCAAATCGTGGACCGCTATTCCCCACACGTCATTGCCAACATATTCTTCGGCCACAACCTCGAGGACCAATTCATGATCTACTACGCGCATAATGGCACGGTTCAAAATGCAAACAACGCCCTCACCACTGGCTGGATCGGACCAAGCGTCACACCCCTAACAAACATGAACAGCGGATTCCGTCTCTACGAGGTTGACACGGGAGACTTCAACGTCTACGAGGCATACACTTTCTTCAGTAATGTCTCTGAGTATACGAGTCTCCGTGAGACAGGACCGACATACCGCTTCGAGTATTCCACTCGCGATACGTACGGTCCTGCGGCGGGGTGGGATACAAATGCTCCGCTAAACGCGACTTTCTGGCACCGTGTCACCGAGGCTATGGAGAAGGATATTAGTCTTGTCACTTTGCAGACTCACCTCCAGGGCAGAATGAGCGTCAAGAGTCCAGTTTGCGATACCAAGGCTTGCCAGATGGCGAAGATTTGTTACATGCGGAGTGGGAGCGTTGCGCTGGGTCGTCAATGTCCTCAGGGGTAAGTTGTTTGGAATTTTCGATATGGAGTTTAGAATGTGCTTTCTAACAACTAGTTCCAGGTATGCCTCTGTCCAGAGTGCATTCAATCCGAAGTAGTTACTACGTTCTTCTCGTTCGGCTCGATGCGCTTCATGGCGTGTTCGAAATCGAGACTGCCCATGATTTTCAGCGTATTTGATTTTTTGCATACACAATAACGAGGCATAATACTACGAAGAATATGAGAATAATTGCCGTCTTGTAGATTTCCGATCTATTCATGATGTCAGGTAGCTGCACATTTGCTTGGTTGACGATATATATTTCGACGGACGTCCATGTTCTTCGGAAGGGAGGTGGGGGGGGGGGAAATCGCCCCAGAAGGATCACTCTACAACGAGAAAAATCACCCCTGTCAACGGTGCATTCGGGGAGACGCACGTTCGAAATGCACCTGCGCTTGACGATCATCTACTAGATAAAGCCCCATCTTAGCTGCGATCGAGTGGGCAGTCAATAGGCACCCGAAGACGAATGAGCTTGCGACGGCGATGCACAATGAATTGGTTTATGAGAGAACTTCGCAAGATTTGTAAATCCTCGAGACGAGACATGGATCACTGTGGTTTGGGGCTGAGCGTAGTACTACTCTACTTATTGTGGCCGAGTATGAATTGTTCAAGATTATATATTTGAATTGTGTCGATGTCTTCAACAAGAACCGGGTTCCATAACTCAGTTGGTTAGAGTGTGGTGCTAATAACGCCAAAGTCGAGGGTTCGACCCCCTCTGGGACCACTTTCTTTTTGTCTTTTTTCATTTCGCTCCACGCATAACTCGCTCAGCATTCCTCTTCCCTCATTATTCTTCTCGACTTTTTTTTTTTTTTTGGTAATCTCGTTTGTCGAAGTTCATTATCCCGAGAAAATTCATCTGAGAACATTTATCATACTAGGCTATTTTCTCAACGCTCCCACAATACTAGATTCACTTTTCCATCCCAAATGCTCCCCCGCCCAAAGGATCGGCGCATGAAACGAACAGGAAATGATTAGCATGGGATGAACCACCCCCCTCTCTTGTTGTACCGCGGAAAATACTACCAGGATGCCAATCGGCAGTAGTAAATAGTTGCAACCCATTTTTACAATACCCCTCTTCGTAGCCTGCGAAAAAATGAAAAAGCAGTTACAGTATGTAGTAGTCAACTGTACTCCGTATAGCCGGTTCGCCAAGGAACCACTCCTAAAGCTTCAGTCAAGCTAATCATTGACGATGACCCGTTCCGACTAATTCATTTGGTCATTGACCAACCAGTAACCCCATACCTTGACGGTCGCATGCTTTTCAAACCTGATCATACACCGATTTGCTCTGTTGCCGCCGGCTCCCGAGCGCGTCGATGCATGACGTAGCGAAGGTCTTCGTTAGCCTTTCTATATCGTCATCACCATCCTCCGGGCGATCCGCAACTTTTATAATCGTAGCGAGGGCCCTGCATTATGCAGAAGCAGTCGAAGCTATTGCAATATCCCTGTCATACCCTCAACATCCTGCATCCTTTTCTTCTCGACTCGGTGTTCGATATTAACCTACAGCTTAAAACTTATATTCGACACCTTTCGCGAACCGCGAACCTCTTTACCTCTTCACTACTCAAGCAAGCTCCATATTAAAATCCACTATGGGTCTGCGGGGTGTTCAGTTGGGTCTCCGTGCGTGGGAGGTACGTATCAGATGAAGTTAAAGGAGACATGGCGCAAATATGCTTTGGCTAACACCCTTTATCTTTATTACAGTTCGTATGGTCTCTGCTCATCATGGCCCTCGTGGGTAACATGATCGCCGATGCCTTCGCGGGCAACCCGGGAACCGTCAACTACTCGATGTTCGTGTCGGTATTCTCGATGGTCTCACTCTTCTACCTGATACCGGCCTCGTGGAACTCGGACTGGGCCTTCCACCCGATCATCATGGTCGTGGTCGATGTGCTCAACTGCATATTCTTCTTCACCGCGGCTATCGCGCTCGCGGCGAAGTTGACGTGCCACTCTTGCAGCAACCAAGTACGTTGTCGCCAGTTCTGCAGTTTCCGTTCACATGAGGGGGAATCTTCTACTAACGATACCAGTCTTATCTGGCTAGCAACGAGATTACCAACGGCGCGAACAACATGGGGAAGCGCTGCCGTGAGGCTCAAGCGACAACTGCTTTCTTGTGGTTTGGTTGGGCTGGATACATGGCCTCCGTCATCATCTCCGTGCTCACGTCTCGGTCGTCGACTTCCAACCTTCGTGGTCGCAGTGGTAGCCGCCGCCGCCCCAACATGACCCAGGTCTAATTTCGCAGACAAAATCGAGGGGCCTTGTGAGCTTCCTGGATTTCTTCAAGAATGTCATTGTCCAGGGGGCCTACAGGCTCGTCTATTGCTTCGAAGGTGGTACGATAGTGTCATGATGGCGAAGCACCACTGACACCACGGGTATACTTTGTGACTCGACAACGGCGTTGACGGCAATGGACTGTTAAACGATTGTATGACTTGACGATCTGGTTCGATGGAACCTATCAGGAGATATATATATCTAATGTCCCTCTGGTTTCCCTCTCATACCCGGATCCTGGATGACTCGAAATGGATAATGCAAAATGGAAAACGAAAGGCAACGATGCAGGCTACTTTCTTATTGTCTTGGTAATATCGTGCGACGAGGCGTGACATGGAATAATGCGTTTGGGTGCTATTGGGCTACTACGATGTTATTAATATTATTGATCAATTTTGGAGCTTTGATACCGATTGTCCGGACAATGCCAGAGCTTCTGATCTATCGTCTATGAAAGGGATTCCTCGTAACTCGTTTCTGGTAGATGGGATGGCATTAGGGCTCTTGATATTGTTGAAAAGCGCTTGGGTGAGCTGCATGCAAGATATAGACCTCGGTATACTCCGACAGCTCATGCGGCATTCGTACTCGCCAACCCGACCGGAAGAGTTGTCTCCTGTCCGGCTATTATGGTGTTGAACTACTGCAATTATATTCTATTGGAATTTACAGTCTACCTTTTGCTTTCTCATTCATTGCGAAGCTAGAGGGTATTGAAGATTGATCGCATGACGTAGAAATTGCTGGATTCTCAGCCGCCATGGGGGCGGCAGCCTTGACTCATTCATCCGTGCGCAGGAGAAACACAACACCTCAGTTCATTGACCTTCAACGCAAACGCTGCTCTTCTGATCAACTCCCTCATCATCGTGTTTCATCAATCATTTGACATTCTCCAGTTGGCAGTTTCAAGCTAGGGCTCGGTAGCGGGGCATTTCTCCTCTGCTCCACTCGAAGAATTTCTCCAGAGCTCGGGTCCGCCACGGCTTTGACAGTACCAACTTCCCGTTTCGCCATCCCATTGTCACCTCCCAGACTTCATCGCAATGCCCATCAGGTGAGATTGCGAGATGAGCATTGGAACGAATTAAGAAGCCTCTAACACTCTGTTTCAGCTACCTTATCCTCTTGTCCCGACAGGGCAAAGTGGTGCGTCCGAACCCCCTCGTCACCCACCCCGTTTCTTCAACCGGCTTGAGGCCCCCCCCGACTGACCCAATTTTTCTCGCAGCGTCTCGCCAAGTGGTTCACTACTCTCTCCCCCAAGGAAAAGGCCAAGATCATCAAGGATGTGACTCAACTTGTCCTGTCCCGCCGGACGCGGATGTGCAATTTCCTCGAATACAAAGGTGGCTTCTTCTTCTTCTCCGCGGCCCCGACCCTCCAGGTACAAACAGCATGCTGACCACGATGGGACTGTCCAGACTCGAAAGTCGTCTACCGCCGATATGCCTCCCTATTCTTCATCGCCGGTTGCGCATCAACCGATAACGAACTGATCACCCTCGAGATCGTCCACCGTTACGTCGAGCAGATGGACAAATACTATGGGAACGTGTGCGAGCTGGATATCATCTTCAATTTCCAGAAAGCATACTTCATCTTGGATGAGCTATTACTAGCGGGTGAGATGCAAGAAAGCAGCAAGAAGAACGTGCTTCGTTGCATCAGCCAGCAGGACAGCCTAGAGGATATGGAGGTAAGTCCGACCATGCTTTGTCCACTGCTGCCCTCTTCTTCCACTTCCCTCAAGTGGATCCCCTGTCATGCGCCGTGCTACAGTCAGTGCCCGACAGATGGGATACCCTTTCCCCGTCTCTCATTGACCTTCTACTCCTCCCCTCTCTCTCCTAGGCGCAATCGGGCTAATGCTCTCCGCCCCAGGTCGAGGAAGATGTGGTCACCAAGATCATGTAGCGACCGGGATTCAAGACTCTTTGTTAATTGCTTTTCTTTTCTTTTTGTGTGCTTTGGTCGTTTGTCTTTGTTTCTGCTTTGTTTGCCGTAGCGTGTTTCCACCTGTCTATTTTTTACCTACTAATCAATATCACTTGCCCCATTATCAGGACTCGGAAGACGTGTCGCGCAACCTGGACCGGGTCGGGCTGTGAGGCCAGGCTGGACCCATGGAACTCTGGCCCGAACCAGTTCTGATCAGACCTGCCCACTCCGTTGCCCAGTCAGACCACTCAAAAGCAACTCGGGACTGCTCTGGACCAACCCTGGCCACTCATTCCACTACGTCCTCCCTCTAGGCCTCCTGCTAACACGACGACTGGACACCCAAAGGGTTGGCCCGCCCGTGAGGTCAGTGCGGGCTCTCACTGGCCCCCCCCGACCCGGCACGTGATCCCCCGGTCGCAACGCATCTCCTCCCCCTCCCTCGTCGTCTGGTCGATCGGAAGCGCATCTGTTTTCCATTTCTTGATCGCATTCGAGACTCTCTCTACTCTTTGCCTCCTGTTATATAAAGGCAATTCTCTGGGTCTGCACCGTGCCGCGGAGACTCCCACTGGTCCCCTTATCTGTCCTGTTTGCGGTTATCGCCGATCGGCACCATCACCTCCGTCTCCGGCGCGACCACCTCGCGTCATCATCCATCGCCCCAGCGCCAGTGAGGTGATCGTGATATCTATCGAAATCAGCAGGGCATTCACACTTTCAAAGTCTATTTCACCGACCGCTTTAGCTGTCTGAACTGTCACGGCAACTCTGACAACATGAAGGTTGGTTACTCCCTCGGTCGCCGTGGCGATAACGCCGAATCCCATCGCTCCATCATCATTCTGGTCACAGTTACTGATCTACTCCTCTCGCTATCTAGTTCCTACCTCTTCCCGATTTTGAAGATGTCACGAGCTCTTTGAATTTCGATACGGCGGATTGTCACATCGTGGGTGGATGCGACCTCTACACAACCAAGGCTGCCCGATCCGATCGGAAACTCTACAATCACATCGAGCAATCCCTTGAAGCCCAATACGAATCAATTCTTCGTCTATCAGCGTCACTTTCCCCGCCGAATGCTCACGATGCGGCCGAGACCTTGAACCTATCCCGATCGAGTCCATTCGGCCCCCTGAGCGAGCATTCCAGTCGACGTACCTTTGCCTATCTCATCGCGACGCTCAACGCCAGCCATCCTGATTACGACTTCTCGCATGTGCTGAGACCCACTGATTTCCGGCGCGAGCGACACATCAAGCGCGTGATGAATACGGTCAACTCCACACTATTCAACCTCCGCCCCCGCGAATCACTCGATCTCTCTCCATCGTCACCAGCCACCCTTTCTGGATCATACAATTCATCATCCCCTGCCTGGGGTCCTCGGATGTGGCGGATAGTGGATGAGCACATGTCGCTTAAGGAATGCGCGGTCTACTCGTACTCCCCCGAGGAGGACCCCTCCGACGCCGATGACGGAGCGATCTGGAGCTTGCACTACTTCTTCTTCAACCCACTACGGAAACGGGTTTGCTACCTCTATCTCCGTGCAATCCCGATCCTTAGCCACACACCGCCCGAAGATAGCGAGATTGCTTCTACCCCTACCGGCAAGCGGACGTTCGACGACGGCTACCTGACGCCGGATCTGAGCTCAAGCAAGCGAGCCCGGTACTGGTTCGGTACTCGTGCGGAGTCTTCGTTGCATACCTCCGAGAACGCGGATGACGATGATGATCATTACATCCTCAGTGACGAGGAGACCCGTTCGCGTAGGGGCAGCAAGGGCATGGTTCGGGCGATGAGTGAGGAGCTCGTGGATACCATGGAGATATGAGTGATGCGACCGGGAAAGCTTCTTCTGTCTTTGGTTTTTTGATTGTGTTTGATTCTTTCAGGTCCCGTTGATCGGTGATTTGGTTTTCTTCCTTATCGTTAACCGTCTTTTTAGCTGGGGGCGTTGGGGTTCTGGGACTCGATGGACTTGTGGAGCAATTCAACCTGCATTTATACTATTTCCGCTGCGAGGGGCGTTACGATGGGCAAGACTGATATGAACCACCGCCCCCTTCTGACTCTCATGCCGAAGCCCTTCTTTTCTGCTCCTGTCTATACTCTAATAATGTACTCCTTTTTATCTTGGATTTGTACCGAATGCTTTGGTCTATTAGATGCTTTACCAGAGAGCGTCTCTTCATCTGGTATAAAGATGCGTTGTGACGAAGAGCATATATGGACCCAGAATCTGATATGAAGTAAAAGATATATCGCGTATCTAGTAATTCCTCGCAGCTGTAAACCAGCTGATGTTGTCATTGAATACTGGCTCGTGTTATCACGCCTGCCGTATACATCGGAGGTGGCCCGTGCGCCGAATGGGGAAAGCTGTCCATTCTCCATTCCCTTCCACTCCGACACAACTACTCCGCACCCATTGATACCCCTATAAACATTACAAGATGGCCGACGAGGAGGAGCGCATTAAGGCTGAGAAGCTTGCCGCTGCCAAGAAAAGGGTATGCTTGCCTCGTCGGTGGTGCTATTGCAATCACTAATCACTCCCGTGTCATTGCAGGTAGCCCAGCTCCAGAAGCAAAAGAAGAAGGCCAGCAAGAAGGCTTCAGCCGCTACAGATACACCCAAAGATGCCGAGACTCCCAAAGAAGTTGAAGCTTCGCCAGAGGCTGCGGCTACCACAGAGACTACCCCTCCAGTAGATACCCCCGCCGAGGAGAATCCACAAGAGACCACGCCAGCAGACACCACGACAGCAGAGACCACGGCCACGGAACAACCAGCAGAGCCAGAACCAGAGCCGGCATCGCATGAAAAGTCAACTGAATTATCAGAACCTGCCGAGTCCCCTGTCGAGCCCATGCCCCCCGCCCCCACCTCGCCTGGTCCAGAGACCGAGTCGCAGCCTGCACGTCTGGATACCCCTCGCGCCGGGCACGGCCGCCAACCGTCCCTGTCGATCCAGTCGAAGATGCGCTCGTCGTCATTCCGAAAGACTTCCATATCCCAGGGTAGCGCCCCATCTCCATCGGCTCTTAAAACCTCACCACAACCTCTACCTCCGTTGACAGGGGACGGGGACTCCGTCCACGAAGTGTTCCGGAAGCAGTCAACGAAGATTGAGGAATTGGAGAGGGATAATAAGAGACTGGAGAAGGAGCTTTCCGATGCGACGACTCGCTGGCGCAAGACGGAGGACCAGTTGGAGGATTTGCGGGAGGCTAGTGTGGATGGGGCGGAGTTGAGGGAGCGATTGAAGCAGGCTGAGGAGAAGGTGGCTAGTATTGAGGCTTTGGTATGGATTATTGAGACTTCAATTTACGAAAGAGTTGAGCTGACTTGCTTGGTAGAACGAGGAGATTGCCTCTCTACAACGGCAAAACTCACAGCTCCAGTCCAGGTCACACCGCAATAATGCTAGTGCTTCCGTGCCTGGGACGTCAAAATCACCACCAGCAGATCTTGTCTGCCAATTAGAGTCCAAATCCGCCACTATTGAGGCTATGGAACTAGAGATCTCGAACCTGCGCGCCCAGGTGACGTTGCAGCAATCTTCGAACAGCGCGCATGAGGCCCAGGTGACTGCCCTTGAAGAGAAGCTATCGGAGAGCCAGGCCGCTATTGAGAAGTTACAGCGTGAACTCAATGACACAAAACAAGCCCTTACCCGCGCATCAGAGAAAGCCGTCAAGGAAGGCGTGGACAAGACATCTACCGAAACCCTGATCAAATCGCTGCAGCGCGAAGTGGAAGAGCTAAAGAATGAAAAGGTTGAAGGAGAAAAGAAGATCGAGACTCTGGACAAGAAACTCGTGGCACTGAGCAACCTGCACAAAGAATCAGAATCTCGGCACCAAACCCGGCTGCGCGAGAGCGAAAAGGCAGAGAAAGAAACCGCAGTGCTACGGAAGAAGCTCGCCAGCATTGAAAATGAGAACCTTCGACTTCGCGAAGAGCGTGATCGCACGCGCAAGCGTGATGCCGGTGGCACAGATGACGAGGCCCTCGACGAACTTGAAGATGAAGAGCGCCAGCGTCTTGAGCGCCGTATTCGCGAATTGGAAGGCGAGAACTTTGATCTGCGTCGTGGTGTTTGGCAAGACAAGCGCTCGGAGTTGGCTGGCCAGCAATATCCTGACGAGGGACCCGAGTCTGGAGGCGATGCTGCGGCAAACGCCTTTGACGATGTCGATCTAGTCGGTGGTCGACCCGATCACGCCCGCCGGAGAAGTATGGCACTGCAACAGCAGCACTCGTCCCTGTCCGATGTGTTGTCTAGTGGCTTTGCCGCTTTCACGGGTGGGAACCGTGCTCGCGCCGGTTCATCGAACCCACCGCACCCCGCCACCCGCGGTAGTCTCGAGCTCCTGTCCGAAGAAAACCTGGAAGATGAATTCGACGAGGCAGAGTTTGCGCGTGCCCAAGCCGAGGAAGAGGCACGCAAGCGGGTGGAGTGGGTGCGTGAGATTAAGCGTAAGCTTCGGGACTGGCAGGGCTGGCGTCTGGACCTGGTTGATAGCCGGGCCGGGGCTGAGGGTCCTGGTTTGGCTTTGGGACAGATCTTTGAGGTTTGAGGCTTCGTTGTGTATTGTGTAGTCTGTGTCTTTCATGGAACGGGTGGGTATGAAGTATGGGTTGACAGGGTGGAGGCGTATTCATGTTATATATACCACGAATTATTTTATCAATACAACCTTTTGGCAGGGATCTATATAGGTTGGCCTTGTCTATGCTGCTTCACCAGAGACATGATCTCATATATTGGTACAATAGACCGAGCAAACCTCAAGATGGTGCTCTGTTCTCATGACAATGATAACAAACTCGCAATCGGCATACGCAGACAGTAGTTCTACTCAACAGGAAAGACGAATGCAATGAATTCCTATACTCAGTACAATGCAATAGAAGTAAGAGAAAAAAAGACATCAAAATTCAAACAAATCCAAAAGATAGAACTCCTATCAATCCGAATAATGCTTCCCCGTCAAAACACCCTCAGTCTGCCTCCTCCTTCTCCCCAAAATCTCACCCACCCAACCGGAAATCTGATAAAGCCAACCTCCAGTAACGAGCACCCCAGAAACAGTATTGATCAACCGAATCATCAAATTCAAGAACCCCGTCCGCTCCTCGCTGACCAGCAACAAGATCGGCTCAATGTTATACTTGAAAAAGATACCCGGAACCAGGTAAGGGGATTCGGGGATTGGACCGGACTGGCTGGTTGCCGCGTACTGGTTTGTGAAGACTGCATTACGGGTTTGGCGGACTTCGAGGGAGGAAGGGTTGAGGGTGTAGGCGTTGAAGGCGGAGCGGCCTTTTGTGTAGAGGGTTGGGACGACGGAGAGGAAGTATTGGAATTTGTGGTAATGGATCTCGCTTTCGGCGATGGTTTTGTCGAGGGGGTTTTGGAGGCTTGGGTAATGTGGGCCGAAGGAGAGCTCAGTGATCATGTGGGAGAAGTTGAATGCTGAAGTATGAATGTTAGTGGAAAACCGAATAGATGGGTAAGGTAGATGGAGAGTAGATCCAGGCAGATCCCGTCAACATATTCGGAGCAATTGAACACATCCGCAGTATGATCTGCTAGAAAGGAACGGGGAAAGAACTCACTCTCATGCGACAAATGCTCCCCCAATTCCCGATATCCGTGTCCACGCGCCGTGATATGGAAATCCCCTTGCACCTTGTTCCCCTCCAAACTCCCATAAATCCGACAAGCATCCGACTTCTCCCCCCATCGCATCCGAGGGCCCTTCGCGAACTTGCGCCTCGGATTGCGCCGCACTTCACCCATAACATGGTGTACATGTGCATCCTCCTCCTGCGCGCTCAACCGATCAGCCTCCTCATGGCTGAGCGTCTGGTACTCGTGCGATCCGTAGTTGCGCTTCTGCATCCACAGATTCCACGAGGTTTCTTCGCGCTGGAGGAGTTCGCCTGCGAGGATGCGGTCGCCGGCGGCGTCTTGGATGTTGACGCGTAGGGTGTCGCAAGGCATGTGGACGACTATGTCGAGGTTGAGCTGGAGTTGGTGTGAGACACCCTTTTCCACACTGAAATTATGTTGTTCTGTGCCGTGCCACCAGGTCTTGAGCTCGTAGAAGCTGAAGAGCGTGCAGATGGCGAGAATTAGAACGGTCCATTGGCCGCCGCGGGTGGTGGGTGTTGTATAGGATGCTTTGGTTTTAGCTGCGAGAAATTGGTAAAGTTAGCTCTATCTGCCAATTTCGGGACGAATTGGAGGTGATCAGAGTATAGAAACATGTGTTGTGCAGTGTCAAGGGCTTGTTCCTGGCTTGTTCCTTGTTCCTGCATCGGGGGGGGGGGGAGGTGTTTGTAAACTTACGGAAAGCGTCGAAGGTCTTTAGCCCTGACAGTTTACCCTTGTCCCCAAAGGCATCCTCATTGAGGCCTTTAGCTTCATAGCCATTCATTGCGAATGTGCAGGCCCAGCAGCGACATGAAGGAAAGCGAATGTCTCGCCAATGGCAGAAGGTCGGGGGAGGATTGGGAAGTGGAGTAAGAAAGTCAAGATAAGGCGATGAGGCCAAGTAGCCCGATTGCCGCGATCCACCAGTTGCTGATCGCCCCTCTTAGGCTCGACTCGAACTGCAGAACAACGCAAGGATATTCGACCTGAAAAATCATCTATGATGAGGGATGCTTCATTTTAAAAGTATATCACTACTGTACAAAAATGGTAAAAGTGTATTTGAGAATAGCAAATGCAAGCTTAATTGCCAATCCGAATGCTCTCCACGATTCGTTCAACTTCATCATGAAGTGAAACCCTCGAGGAGAGATGCAAGGAGATAAGATAAAGAAAAAAAAATGTACAAATAGCAGGACCGGAAAGGGAGTCCTGATGAAAAGGGGAAGGGGGGGGGGGGGGTCGTCATATAGTAAGAAAAAGCGAACGTGAGAATGGGAGGACATGGACGCAATACCCTTTCACAAATAATCATATCAGGGCCCAGATGCAAATGCTATCAACGAACATAAAATGGGTATAGGATGCATGTCGTCCATTTTCATCTCCATGGGTTCACCGAACCAGACCAACGTAAGCTGACATGACATACCACCTGATGCATGAGAATAAAACAAGCCAAACGAATAGAGAACCAGAGCAATTATGATTATATGAGGAAAAGGGAAAAGGGAAAAGTAGGAAATGGACAAGGGGAATGGGGATCCAGGGATAGGATCAGGATTATGGAATGGGAAGGGAGGCGAGGGCAAAGAAAGAAGACGGCTTATTTGCTCCTCTGTTGCTTGTTAGCACGCATCCTCATAGCGCTGGCATGGCTGGCAGCATCTTCAACTCACAAGGCTGGTTGCAGCCGCCGCCGTGGCGAGGTCTGGCTTCCCACTGATACTACGTGCTGAGGCACGGGGCAGTCCAGTCCCGGAGATCGTGGAAGTGTTTGAACCTCGTTTAGCGGGGCTGGAGGGCGGCAGACCGGTGACCGTTGAGTGCCGTTTCGCACTGCTGCCCTTGACCGGGGATGTGCCCGAGACATCGCGAGTGCGAGCACTCTTCAGAGTGCCACCGGGAGGCTCGGGCAGCGGACGCGAACTGGAGGTCGAGGCTCCTCGCTTGGAAGGTGAAGCGGCGGCATACATCCGAGGTCGAGTGGACGACTTGACACCGGTGATGAACTCATGTTTCAACGCGTCATGGGGGCTCAGTCGACGAGTGGGATCCCAGCGGAGACAACGAGAGAGGAAGTCCAAGAAGGCCTCATCGTCGCACTTGAGAACTTGCCGAAGGTCCTTGGAGCTAGGACGGCGACGGCGACCCTTAGACGAAACAGTCAAGCGCGGCTTGCCGAGAGAATCAAAGAACAACTTCTTGCGAGTACTCTTTTCAATCAGATGCTTTTCGGGAGGGCCAAAGACCTCCATGATGCAAGCCAGCTGTTCCTGTTCGTTCTCACCCGGGAAAATTGGATAGCCGGTAAGCAATTCAGCTAGAATACAGCCCAAGCTCCACATGTCGATGGGCATGCCGTACGACATACCCAGAATGACTTCCGGAGAGCGATAGAAACGACTCTGGATGTAGGTGTAGACCTTTTCATTTTCAAAGCAACTTGACCCAAAGTCAATGACTCGAATCTCCGAGTTCAACGGGTGAACAAGAAGGATGTTCTCGGGCTTCAGATCGCAGTGAATGACCTTCTTAGCGTGCAACAGAACCAGACTGCTGAGCATCTGTTTGGTGAAGCGGCGAATAAGCTTCAGCGAGAACCCGCGGAAGTCGTGCGCCTTGATGAATTCATAAAGATTCATGCCCAAGAGCTCGGTGGAGATGCACAAATGACCACGGAAGTAGAAACTTTGGTCGAAAGCGACCACGCTGTGCCGGCGCTCAGAATCCCAATCCTTAAGCTTCTTGAGGAGATTGACCTCAATGAGAGCTTGCTGGTGGAATCGCTTCTTGTTGCGAATAATCTTGACAGCCACCAAAGCCCCAGTCTTGTGGTCAACACAGCGCACCACTTGTCCGAAACTTCCCTTGCCTAGCACATCCACCACCTCATAGCGATAGGCGAGATGATCACCAATCACAATGTTATAGTCTCCACGGTCGTCGTCATAGCCAAAATTCGCAGCGCCCGAGTGGAGATCTCCCACGTGCTTCTTCGCATTCTGCGTGCCACAGAAGAAGATGTCCCTGTAGTCAATGATCTCACCACGCTCAAAGATATTCAAGTTTGCCATCTTGAGTGCCTGAGCTGGACTGACACGATCCTTTGGCCCGGCCTTGCGGCGCAATTCATCTAATTGCTTAGCCGCAGTCTCAAAGTCCTTCCGCTTCGCACCCAACCGCCTCATCTCTTCATCCGCGATAACTGTATCTGCGTCGACGCTGGCATTGACTGTGCGTGAAGTAGCGGCCGCACTGGATCGAGCACTGCTAATAATCTTATGGACAGAGGAAACATAGTTGCCAGCAGCACGGTTGTGAGAATGGTCGCTGCCCGTGGACTCGTTGGTCATAGTGTGCTCGAGGGGAAGGCTTCGATCGCTGCTCACACTTGGTTTGCGAGGGGCAGACTGTTTGGTGATACTCGAAACGGAGGATTGGCGCCGAGGCTTGAGATACGAGGTCTTCGTAACAGGGCTAGTCGAAGTCACGGAAGAGAGGTTATTCCATGTTGCAGAAGCCGGAAGTTTTGGTGGCGGCATATTATCATACTTGGCACGGTCGGCTTCAGCTTCGGCTGCAAGATTTGCCTTGGAATTGCTGCGCAGGCGAGCCACATTCAGGCGATCTTTCAGAGTGGAAGCCGGCACCACCGTGGTACTTTCAGGCTCGGATGGCGTCGAGATTTGGCTAAGTCTCTCAGAGGATGGTGCGAAAATGGCGCTCTGGGTCTGAGGTCGAGGCCCAGTGATCTTGTAGGACTGAGAGACTCGGTTGGAATAATCCCCGCTAGCCTGATGACGGAGAGCATTGAACTCGGAGCCGGACTTTGGAAGCGTATATGAGGCGTACGGCGAGATGTTTCGAGTGCCATTGGGCGTATCTGTAGGGCCAAAGGCACTGGTGCTGCTGGCCGCGCGCAATCCGGCTGTGGAGACGGAGCTAAGTGCAAAGTGCGACGTGCTGCTGCGAACTTGAGTTGCTGGGCCCTTGTCATCCTCATCACGATACCAGAAGTTCGCCTTGGAGGCAGTCATGGGGGTACTGGGTGTCTTTGACATGACTTGGTTGGAAGGGGTCTGGGCTTTCCTATCCTCGGCTTCTCTGTCTCTCAGTGCCTCAATCTTCGTTGTCATTGGAGTCCCCAGAGGAAGCAGGTTCAGAGGCGGCAGCTTCAATGGCTGCAGACCCTTGCGACCTAGCACTGTCGAAGTCCGCGTCCGGGACTCTGGGGTTTTTGTGACCCGGCCATTAGTGATGTCAGCATTGTCGCCTACAGTCACACCAAGGCCGCCGAGGGCATCAGAATCCGAGTCTCGCGCAATGTTGAGAAGACTAATATCAACCGGCAAGCTTGACTTTCTAGGCGTAGGAAAGACTGGCGCATCAAGCTCGGCCTTGGGGGATTCGTATGCTTTGGGGATTGCGGGGACTGGGGGCACCTCTTCCTCCGAATCCTTGGAGGCTTGCTCCGTGCGCGGTTTGGGGGTTGGTAGCCGTGATGAGGAGAAATTCTGAGAAAGACGAGGCTGGAGCGAACTTCCAGAGTTTCGAACAGAATTGTAGCTAGTGTTCGATGACAACGATAGCCCTGAACTGTATGACTTGCGATTCGGATCAGGAGTTGTTCGGTTAGAGGAAGGGGTGACGCTCTTCCTCGGAATAAATGACGGGGATTGATTTGTGGATATTGGTCGGGTGGGAAGAGGCTCCGTCTGCTGCGTGGGAGGGGTATGCGGCATGGGTGGCGCAGGAGGCGCGATTGACATGCGTTTCATGCGTCGTGCGTCTGTAGGACTGACGGTGCGGGCACCCAAACCGGTCGCATGAGGCATGGTAGACATGCGCTTGGAGGATGAGGAAGGTGTCGTGTTTGCAACATTAGGCCCAGAGGGATTCTTGACCGGCGTACGAACTGCATTGGTCGAAGAAGACCTTGTATGATCCGTGGTCCTAGCGGCGTTCAAGAACGCGCTGCGTGGCTCGCGTGGAGATGGCTGGAAGGATTTGGCCTTTAGGCTTCGGACTGAAGACGGAACTTTGGTCTCATCCTGGCCCTGGTTCGGTTGCTGGGCCCGTGGGCGAAGAAAATTGTTCGTATCAATTCGTGTCGTGTCGACGCTGACTTTGCGAGCGCTGAGACTGGCGCGCCTAGCAGACGCATTGGTAGGCGCGAAAGCACCCGAGCTTATAGACTTGCGTGATCCTCGTGTACTGGCGGCGGTCGCGGCAGAGGTTTGAGCAAGACTTTGGCGGCGGCTACGCGAGTTGGCAGAGGCAGCCGATAGCCCTGAATTCGTAGGAGTCTGAACATTGAAGCGGTGGACTTCGCTCTTTCGGCGAGATGTAGGGCCTCTCGTCCGCTCCGAAGCAGCGCTCTCATGGCTGTGGGTTGTCCAAGAACTGGTTGTAGACAACCCAGAGTCCCTGTTTTCAGATCCCAGGGCGCCATTACCAGGCATGGGGAAATGACTGAGACTGGGTTCGGCCATGATGCTATTGTGGAAATCATCGAAACTGATCGGTGCTAGAAATTCGTTTCTTTCCGCTTGAGGGGCTTGGCTGGCGTCTGCTTTCGACAAATTGCCTACACTTGTAGATCGAAGATTATGTGGCACTGTTGAATCCGTTGTAGAATCAATTGAGGAACTCTCGGAGTGGAAATAAGTGGCGGAGGGTTTGCTATGAACCGTTGGTGGTTAGCTTTTTTGTGATTGTTGTTATCCCCCAAGTCAACTCTAGTGCGGGCGAGATAGGGGGAGGGGTTGTAGGTAACTGAAAAGTGGCGCCTACCTCCCGCGCAAAGCATCCTGTGGGCGAGGCCCCTGAGGAGCCCTTGGACCTCTGATAGACAATCTTCTCCTACCCATTTCCCCTGAGCGCGGGCCTGCAATGTCCCTCGAGGACTGCGAGTCGAAATTGGTCGTGGTATTCATGTGGAAGGTAGTTGAGGCGGCTTTTTGCAGTCGTCTAAGGGCTGGGGTTTCGGCTGTGATGAACATTGTTAGCTATAGAGACCTCAATGCACCCAAGGAGGGGTGATCGCCTTACCTCCAGAGCCCGAGTCGTCGTGTCTAGATGGATTGGAGCCCCGAGATTGGGTTGTCCCCATTGGACCCCTCCCCGAAGTCTGCGCCGGTTTGGTCGGCATTGTCCAAGAATCCATTGTGGGCTGTGGAAGAGTCGGATTCGCGTCGAATTGACAGCCCACTTAGAGACGAAACCCAGACGTGTCAGGGTCCGACGGTAAATGGCATTCAGGAGAAAGCGGGCCTCCTCGACGATCAAGAAAAAGGAAGAGCCCTAAGCACTGTCGCGCGACCCGTCAAGAAGCGGTTACCGGTCCATTTCGGGAGCAAATTGAGAGGAATGGCCGATTAGCGGTGCCAGGAGAAGTTGTTGGTGGGCTGTTTTTTTTTTGGCTTGGGCTCCAGTACTGGGGAAATAATTTCAGCGAAGCTTTCCTTGTCGTGTTGCTGGGGCAGGAGCACAAGGCGGTCGCGTTGGATACGATGGGGATCCACCACCAACAACGTACCAACAAAGGAGACCCTCGATGAAAGGCTGCAAGAAAATCTGAAGAAGAAGGGCAAAGAGAGCTTGAGCAAAAGGGAAAGTGAGGGGGCAAGAAGAGGAAAAGAGTAAACATGCCGCTTCCTCGACTTTCTCAATTCCGAACTCCCCCTGATTGCGGACAACAGACCTTTACCATACCATACTACAGTTTCCAGCGTTATTCCTGCCATTACAGTTCCGCCGGCGATGATCTGACAATACGCGGTACCGCCCACCCCCAGAAAGAGATCCTTGCCCGATTCAGCAGGCATCGACAGAGAGCACATGTGCCCCGACAGCTCGCCGATATTCCCCCCAGCTGCCGTTCCTCCTGCTTTCTTCGTCCTACTCTTACTTTCAGTCCTCTTACTGTCTTCTTACAGGCCATGGTGACCATTTCTCAGCATGGATGAATATACTCCGGACGCCATGGTGAACCGTGACGATCTTGCCCCCATGCTGGACATGAAGAAGCCGAGGCGCCAGAGAAGCGGCTCTCCAGACAGTGCGCATTCACGATCATCCTCGCAGTCAAAAAACTCTATCCAAGACAGATTATTCTCCAAGTACCATATTCACCTGTCCAGACCGGACTCCTATAGGGGTTGTATGCTGGTTTTCTAACGGTGTCAATCCCAGACTTTTACAGCAAATCATTCCTGCCGACGACGATGAGGATGGTACCGACCTCGGGGACAAGGCCTTTGTGGCATCTCCCAAGCGGCCACCCTTTAGTCTACCGACTATGTCCAACAATTTCCGCCGGTTCAATGCAAGGTGAGTTGGAACCCGAGACATTTATACTCGGACTGCCCGACTACAAAGAGCTAACCACGTTGTATAGAATTGGCGTAGTGTTTCTCTTCCAGACTCAAGTTGAACGTCTGCTCAGCTGGGAAACACCAACGCATACGATATCCTTTCTATTCGTTTATTCTTTCATCTGCTTGGATCCGCACCTGGTTCTGATCCTTCCCTTGGTGATTCTGCTTCTATTCATCATGGTGCCGGCCTTTATCACCCGCCACCCTCCACCACCCTCTACATCTACGTCTAGTATCGTCCCGTACTACTCCTATGAAGGTCCGGCTCTAGCACCAGCAAAGACAATCAAACCGGCTTCGGAGACCTCCAAGGATTTCTTCCGCAACATGCGAGATCTTCAGAACGTCATGGCGGATTTCTCAGATGCTCATGATGCAATCATCGGCATAGTTGCTCCACTGACGAATTTCTCCAATGAAAAGCTATCTTCGACTATCTTCCTAGGTGGCACAGTGGCTACAGCGGTGATGTTCATCATGGCGCATCTCTTGCCTTTGAAGTTGATCATGCTGGCAGTTGGGAACGCTGCCGTTCTGTCCATCAATCCCAAAGTGCAAAGTTTTGTCAAGGCTTTGATGGAGGACGTGGGCGGTGGGTTATCGGACTTGGACTCGACAGCTGGCGACGAGGACGAAGGCAGATTTGGAGCCGCGATCCCCAAGGACCCGTCCGTTGCAATGTCTGCACTGGAACAGTTGGCAGAGATCTCACTCGACACCGATCCCGAAGAGCGAGAAGTTGAAATCTTTGAGCTCCAGCATCGAGCATCTGGTGTGTCAGAGTCTGGATGGGAGAATTTCCTGTTCAGTCCCCAGCCGTATGACCCTTTGTCGCCCTCACGCATCGCGGGAGACCGGCCTCGTGGATGTCGGTTCTTTGATGACGTACAGCCTCCATCTGGCTGGAGATGGAAGAGCAAGAAATGGCACCTCGATTTGGACTGTCGAGAGTGGGTGGTAGAGCGCATGATTACAGGTGTCGGGTTCGAGCTCCAGGGGGTCACCCCAGATAACAGCACTATCGTTGACCAGGTCGGTGGCTGGGTGTGGGATCTCCCATCTGAGCAAACCACTGCGCGAGAAGAAGAGGATGAGGAGATGACTCCCATGGCTTACGGTGATCTGGACGTGTCGACCCCCTCGTCCAGTCAAAAAGGCCCTTCGCCGCACAAGGGCAAGCACCGGGCCAAGTTGTCTGGAGACTGGGAGGAAGCAGCTGCTGCTTCTTATGGGGTAGGAGAGTGGCGACGCCGGCGGTGGGTGCGAATTGTGCAGCGCATGAATCTTCCACCAGCTGGAACTGTAACAGTCACGTACTCTACTCTGGGTCATAATTGAATGTACGACCGCGCAATGATACCAAGATTAAATCAAGGCATATGTATATAGTAGACACTGATAACTCTGATATGTGCTCAGTATGAAGGAATTATACACCGTTTTAAGTACATCTCCCTCGTGAATATCTAAAGAAAGAGGTACTTTTATCAAAAACCACCACAGATTGGGGTCAAAAAGTCAAAAACGCCAAACTCGCCCTAACCAAATGCTGAAATGAAACGAGTTCCTCGATATCATGCCTGGCCCTTCTTCCACTTGTTGAGTCTCCTCCGGATATCACCCTCAGTCTGCTGCATAGGGTTCAGCTTACGGTCACGGACCATAGCCGAGATATTATCCCCATGCTTCTCAATCAACCGCGAGATCCACTCTCCCTCGCGCGAGCTCTGATGCCGCGGCTTCTTAGCCTTCTCTCCCTGTCCCTCCAGGTCGGCCTGGCGCTCCAACTGCTGAACAACCTTGGAGCCGGAAATGACCCGACCAGGGGTGTCTTCGTTGTCTGATAGCTCGTTCAGAGGGTCGTTGAGCGGGTTGTCACGACGGCGCTTCTTGCCGGCAACTTCGATCTCATCATAGTCGTGGATGACTCGCAGAATCTTGCCGGTCTCGGGATCGCGCTCAACCTTTGTCTCGCCCAGATCGATCTGAGCGGCGGCAACGGCGCTGCCGTTGATGTGGAGCGAGTTTGATTTCTCGCCGAGGTCGTTGCGTCCGGGGATTCGTTCCTTACCACCGGTGGGGGCGTTGAGTTTGTGCAGAAGACCGAGCTTCTTGTAGTTTTGTGTAAGGGTCAATTCACGGTCCCTAGGGAGGAAACAATGTCAGCGAATGCTATTATAGGAGAATCCTTTTTTTTGGGGGGTTGTTTCCCGCATACCAGTTTTGCGCGATGATGGCGTTGCCCAGGACGTTAATCTTCTTGTTACCGCTCTTCAGACGGTTGTTCTTGGCCTTGGCCTTAGAGAGACCGGAACGAGCCTTCCTTTTCTGTAGAATTTTGCCCATGTTTGCGACTGTTGATGTGGATGGATGTTCGGAGGGATCGTAGAATAATTCAATCAGTATCAGCGTTATCGAAACTTTTTTGTGTTTGCATCTTTCCTCGGTGCTGGAGGCTTGGCATGTTTGTCCCAGGGTCCGCGATAAAGTAATCAGTGGTCCGACCACGGCGATAAGCGGCCCATCCACATCGCGGGCTGTTTATTATTCCCTTGTTGTACCTTCTACGTCTCTCGTCTTACTTTCTCACCAATGGCTTCGCGATTCATGCCATCACGCCGCATGGGCTTTGCGCTCGTTGCTGGATGTCTTTTGTTCTCGGCGTTGGCTGCTGCCACAGCTCGCCCGGGTGACTTGTCCGTTGGTGAGATCGAGGAGCAATTGCAGGTAATAAATACATCACGAGCTGGGATCGACTTGAGCTTGTAGACCCTATTTGGCTCCCTCATTGCAGATGTTGACACTTTCCTTCAGAACTGCCCCCTGGTCAAAGCTCTCAATGAGCAAAAGAGAGCTTCTGCGCCGGATTCTGCGAGTCTTACCTCGCAGATCTTCGCCGTGCTGTTCCCTGGAAGCCCAGCCGTGAACTCCCTGCTGGCTACGCTGTATATTTCCGGTCCTCCTAGTACGTCTCTCGTCTCATCGAGTTTATCAAATATGTACATCGGAGCTTTGACTGACAATATCTTTACACATCGACAGATTTCCTCCTGGCACTATGCCCGCCTAACATTGACCCCGCCTCGCTGTCCATCATGGTCGCCTTTGCCGTTGGAGGCTTACTTGGTGATACTCTCTTCCACCTTCTTCCAGAGATCTTCCTTGGCGAAGGCTCCCCTGATCATGTGAGCTTCGTTATGGTTGAACCGAACAAGAACCTCCTGCTTGGTCTGGGTATCATGGTTGGCTTCTTCACCTTTGTCGCCATGGACAAGGCCCTGCGCATCGCGACAGGTGGCGAGGGCGGTCACGACCACTCCCACGGTCATTCCCATACCGAAGTAGCCGCCGCGAGCACCACAAGCTCCAACACAAATGGCAAGACCAGTGGCGAGCTGAAGAAGCGCAAATCTGCCAAGTCCGCCAAGGAGCTCTCCGAGGACTCGACCCCAGAGAAGGAGATTAACCCTAGCGTCAAGCTGGGCGGATATCTCAACCTCATCGCAGATTTTACTCACAACATCACCGACGGTCTCGCCCTGTCTTCATCTTTCTATGCATCCCCCACCATCGGCGCAACTACCACTGTCGCCGTGTTCTTCCACGAAATCCCCCACGAAGTCGGCGACTTTGCCCTCCTCATCCAATCCGGTTTCTCCAAGCGCAAGGCCATGGGCGCGCAGTTTGTCACGGCCGTGGGTGCTTTCTTGGGAACATTCATTGGTATTGCTGTCCAGGAGTTCGGGGGTAACAGTGCGGTTTCGGATGCTGGTCCTGGTGCTGGACTATGGGGTACTAGCCTCCAGTGGGGTGATATGTTGCTTCCTTTCACCGCGGGAACGTTCTTGTATGTCGGTACCGTTGCTGTGATTCCCGAGTTGTTGGAGACTGGTAAGGACAAGGGTGCCGAGGTGCGGAAGACTATCACGCAGTTCCTGGCTGTTGCCGTGGGTGCGGGTATCATGCTTGCGTAAGTATCTTGACCCCCGATTACCGAGGAATGATTTGACTAATTCAATCTATAGAATCTCTTGGGATTAAAAGAGTCGAGATATGTCGGGGCTTATATGAATAACCCCCAGAAGGTAATGGGTAGCTCACCTCTATTATATGGGGTAAAATAGTAAATAGTAGAATTTAATTTCGGTGTCGGCAATTGATAATTAGAGCGTGGCATTCATCCTCGCTTGCTCGTCTATTTCAAAACATCGGATACTGTGAAAAAGAAGCCATCTCTCAATCGTATACCTATCTAGCAATTCTAAGCTTCACACCAACCCCAGCTGGTCTGATGCAGACCACCAATGTATGCAGAAGAAAGACACCCATGCAACAAATGATTCCATAACGCCACAACAAACAACCGACGTGAGAACGAAGTCATAATCAAGTCCAGTCCTCAAGTCTGTCCTCCCATGAGATTTCGACTCCTCTGCTCGTAGGGACAACAAATAGAAAAGCGTACGAAGAAGAATGTCAAGAAGACAAATCAGAAATAAAACACAAAGAATTTCACAAAACAAAATAAAGACGCCGAGGGATATAGTTTCTCATGCTGGAGGAGCGTCCTCCGCCCTCTTGCTAGCAAGGACGAATGGAAGACGCAGATCGAGCGCACAGCGCGCGACACATGCATTGCATGCTGAATCGGTTATTCTAGAAGTAGGGACTCATTTAGGTCACATTTACTCGTTGTAGTGATAGACCTGAAGTTCTGGCGTCAGCAAGGAATGCTTCTTTCCTGTTAGAGGATCGGGAGACGACACGTACGAAATAATCCGGCAGTCCAAAGACGGCATAGCCCAACCGTTTAGCCATCTTCGCGAAACCCTCCGTTTCGACGAGATGGAAGAACGGGAAAGCGGGGAACATGGCACCATCACGGTGAACGTCGGCTTTGACCATCAGCGCGGTTCCACCGACACCGTCTAGCGCGACCATGCGGTGGGGATCCAGAGAGTCGAAGTTGGGCAAATAGGCCATCAGCGTGCGGTAAGTTGGCATCTCTGCGTAGCCCTCCAGCAAAATCTCATCGGGACCCATCTCCGCAGCTAGAGCCTGCGCTTGCTGGCTATCGATCCACGAGTTATAATCGTAGGGTCTGATATCCCATTTCTTGGAATGGGAGTCGTAGTACCGCTGGTAACAGTTCGGCACGATGACGGGCTGGTTATGTTTTGTGAGATCTTGGATGAGAGATGAAGGCGTTTCGATGATATCCCCGTCCAGCCAGAGAATCCATGAGGTACTGGGTCCCATCGTGGTGAAGACGAGACTGTTGCGCGCGCGGCTCATAGATTCACGACGCTCTTTCTGCGCGGACATTTTATGTCGGACTTTTTCATCTTGCGATTGCAGGGGTGGCTCAAAGTCCTGTCGGAGAATGGAGATGCTTGCGAAGCGGTTATCGATTGGGCCAGACTGAGTGGTATGAATGGCCTTCTCGAGCGCGGCAATGGCGGCGTTTCCGTCTTTGGTCTTGGGTGCGATGAATCCCAGCGAGATCAACTCGTGGGGGTAGCTCAGCTTGACCAGGTTATCCCAGTATCCTTGGTAAAAGCGGGCTAGCGGGGTGAGAATGAGGATGCGCTCGCGGTTGACGATGGCGTCACTCGAACTTGTCAAGTTGTTGAGGTTATAGTGGACGACGGGCGGGGCGGCTTGGACGCCATCGCTTCGGACGGCCTGGGACTTGAGGAAGGGTTTTGTCGGTGGGGAGAGAGGGTGTTCGGCGGCGTCTTCTTGGCGATGTTGCGAGGTGAGTGCAGATGCGGATGCGGAGACGGAGGGCGTTGGAGATGATAGCATGAACACGATGAAGCCAAAGGCAAGCAGGGCAGCCAGCACGAGACTGATGGGGCTCGTACGGCGCATCGTGCGTGCGACGGCCATGGCCGTTCTCCGTCCAATTGCGATATAGCGAGTGGTTGAAGTTGGAGTAGTTGGGACAGATTGTAGAATCGCGGGAGCTCAGATCTGAAACGGCGATCAGCACGCCCGTCGTCGCCTCAGGCAGCCTGCGGAGTTGCTAGCGGACGATCTCAATCTTTGGCCCACCGAGTATCCTGGTATCAAGTGGTTAATTGGTGATTTTGCTCGTCGATACGGACGGCCTGGTCCGGACTCCGAGGGGATTTTGGTTGATGAGCGAGGATTTGAAGAGGAGAAAGTGTATCGCTGAAGCTCAGATCTTGTTTTCGAGCTTTGGGTTTTAGGGCCGGAAAGAGAACTATGCCCAGAGCTTGGCTTTACCTATGCAACTTTCCTATCGGGAGACTCTCCTTAAACAGCAGAAATCTCGACAAAAAAATACATTTTACCCAATCGCCAAATCGCATGGCATCCCTGGAAACCCATTTCCTGATGATTTAACCGCGGAATGCCCGAAGCAGCCCGTGTTCCGAAAGCGGGTTGTCAACATCTCACATTCCTCAGCTCGGATAACCTCGGCGTAGCTCCCAATCGAGAACAGGGAGCGGTAGCCTTCGTAGAGAATGACGTCTAGTAATTGTTCCTTTCTTATTCTAAATGCTTCCCGAATCTATCAGCATCTCATGTGTATATGTACAAATTCATAGAGTGAAGATATAAGCAGTCCCAATACACCTCACTTCCTTCAAGGCAAGGTCCTCATCACGCCCTCAAATGCAACCAGAGCCATGGCATTTGCCGGGAACGCCCTCAGGAAACAGGGGACGAATCCGCGCCAATACCCTCTCCACCCACGTTCCCGCCATACAGCCCGAGCAGCATCCTTCCAGCTGTGGAACTGTCTTTGCCCATCATTCAGGGCACCACCCATTGGGTCTGTCATCAGGCGCTGCTTCACCACGTCGGAGGGGTATGCTGTCAGCCAGAAGATCTGAGCTGAGATTCCACCGGCCCAGAAATTGATCAAGGGCGCGGACATGCTTGTGTTGTTGGTCATATAGCGGGTGAGAACGTCGTAGGATCCCCACCAGCAGAAGAAGAAGGAGCGGAAGAACATGGTGGCGGCGAGGCCGCGGTATACACCGCTGATGCCGTGTGTGCGAAGCTAAAAGCTTCTGTTAGACTGTGGAAAAACATGACAGGGGGGAATAGCTTACAAGTTTGCGTAGACAGTCGATTGGCCCGCTGTACATGCGCTTGGATTTGTCCGCCGCATACTGTACTTGTAGTCGAGCCTTGATGTGCTCGACCGGAGCGGCAATGAAGCTGACCGTCATACCAGCTAGGACACCAGCCATACCATGACCGAAGGAGGGCAGTGTTGATAGATCGGTGCTGCGAGAGAAGGGGATATATCGGCGGAGTTCAGGCTTCGAAAAGACATTCTCTAGAAGCAGTCTTCGGTAGTATGTCAAAGATCCCAACATTCTGTTCCACAAGATCATCAGCATCGGTCTTCCGCATATGGCCCCCTCCGTCTGACGGCGGGGGATCGTCCCGCCAAGGAATACTCACACAGAATCCATCATCATCCATCCGACCAGCGGTGGTGAAGCACCCTTGTATAACCCCCGCACACCCTCCTTGCGCACCGTCTGCAACGTACAGTCCAACGGTCCCTTAAAGTGCGCATCCTTGCTAGTCTGAAGTCGAACCTTGACAGTATCAAATCTATCAAATCCAACCGGTTATTACACTCGACCCCAACGCGCGACAAGTAAGGGGAGGGGTAAAATGGGAAATAAAGGGGACCTCGAATGACGTACGGATGTCCAACTAAAAGATTTCAAAGAAAGCCCATTAGCACTCGCACTGACAAGGACACCCAAACCCCGACTGTCGATCAAAACTCTGAAAGCCAATATGACCAAAAAACTCACCACTCAACTTTGCAATCCCCGAGAAGACTCCAGCCACAAACCCTTTGTAATTTGACTTGCTTGCCGCCGCAGGCGCATTACTCCCACTCTTTTCCGTTCCGGCCCCCCTCACAACCTGCTTCTCCGTCATCGTAGAAGTAGGCAAGACTTCCAAGGGCGCCTGCGCCGATGACATCGTGAAAATCCAACCCAAAAAACCCGACGCGTGCGTCAGCGGCGCCAAGAATCAATGCGGGAAAAGGTTCGCGGTTTCTCCTAGCGTAGCCGGAGCTGTGAGATGGACCCGGTAGACCGAGGTAAGGTAAGAGCGGAGCACCTTGAAATGTTGAGATCGTGGGATCGCGGGACACGGAGCCTCGAAGGCGGGGGGAGAGTATTGTTATTATGTACGTTAAGAAAAAAGAGGCCCAAAAAGAAACAATTGAAGAGGAGCGAGATCGGAAAGTCTTGAATGATCCGCCCTTGAAGAGGGCCCCGCAACCGCAGCTTTTGCCCGGGGAGTGGCTGTCTTCCTCCGGACTCCGCTTGGGTGGATACCTCAGTCATCAACTCTGGAGGTTTGGAGCATGTCGCTGGGGGATTGATGCGGGTGGGATCGATCGATCGGTGATATAGTTTGTTATGATAATTCTGTGATTTGTAGAAAATGTTGAAGTTTCGTAGATGAGATCTAGATCTAGGTCTGATCCAATGATGGATGGGATCCGGTTTGGCGATTTAGAGATCTTGAGACTGCGATCGATGGTATTGCCAAGGCGAAAGTACTTGTAGAGTTGACGGCCTTGGCATTTATCCCCGCAATTTTCATGAATGAAGGAATCGAATGAGGAAAAAGGCAAACAAGTACTCTGTAGGCAAATTGTAAATAAATTCTGACTGATAAGAATTTCACCTCTGGGGGACAATCAAGTGGGACTACTACTTTAAGCCAACGACGATGCTACCAATTGCGGGGCATTTTATGGCATCCAAACTCTGCGAAATCTAAGACATACAAAAGAGAAAGTCTGGTTTAATGAAGGTCGCAGAAGCCTTCAAGATAATGATATTCAATAGAACAAAAGGTCTGGCTAGTCTGGAACTGGAATGCGTATCGCCGTCCTGTGAGACCAGCGCGGGGTATAGATATATGCTGTCGTAATGCAAAGAAACAACCTGTGACACAGACCGTGGTCTGATAGGGTCTAGGCTGGAAACAAATGATATCACGCGCGGAGAGAACGAGCAATGGAAGGATGCGAGAAGACAAAGGGAATCCAAACGCATATCTCATGTGCACAGCTCGACCTGTAGCGCCCTTGGTTTGTTTCCATGCTCGAAAAACCGTAACAAAATGGAAAAAGAGAACGGGAGGGGAGAAGGAGGAAGTCCAAGAAAAGTAAAAGAAAAAAAAAACACCAATTCAGATGCAAGAGCGGGAAGTGTAGTCGAAGCCGTAGCCGTAGGCACGAGGCATGCCATACAACAAGCGAGGGAAGCAAAGACCCCATCATCGCCCCTTTGCAGACAGGCGGTTCTTCTGCCGTGCCATTTCTTTCTCACGCGCAATCAACTTTTCCACCAAGTCTGCCGGGGGACCCGAGTGCTGGCCTACAGCATCACGCGAGCCATGGCCTACGTTACCGGCATTCCCGGCAGCCAGATAGTCAGCAGACTCGAGAGCCAACGGCGTGACCGGACCCGGGCTACGCAGGGGATCAAGGCGCGGAGCCGACGGACTTTGCGTTGCGCCGTCCAGCAAGTCCCGGTACTGCCATTTGATGTCGCGGGACCCCGATGCCGTGCGGTAGTTCCCTTGCCGGGATTGCCGGGGAGACGGCGGCTGGCCGGTGACCGAGTGGCCGCCCGGGCTGGACTGGTAGACGGCTGGGTGGAAGCGAGGTAGACTCCCCAGGTGAAAGCTTGGCATGGCCTTGGCCGAGTTCTGGGTGCGCGAGCGCGAAGGTTGTGGGGAACTTGGGCGGCGGGGGGACATCACGGGTGAAGCAACCGGCGAGTAGTAGGGGGAATGATCGGCACGCATGCTGTGAGGCAGAGGAGGGTGATGATGGTATCGTGGTGAACGGGTTGATCCAGGCGGCGAGCGGAGATGTCTGGATCTAGCGGAGAGTGAGGCACGCTCCCAGTCTTCTAAGTAATCGTCGTGATCGAAGCGGCCGGTCAGCGGCGTGACCGGGAAATGGTCGTCGTACTCTAGGCCGTGGCGGCGGCGAGGGATTGGAATGGGCCTGGTCGACGAGGCAGAGAGGGTTAGAGAGTCGAAGGCGTCGATGGGAATTGAATCCGATCGACGAGGGCGTCGTGGGTGAGGAGGGGTGGGCGGGTTATATGTTGAGGAGGTGGCCGTCAAATCCCGCAGGGAGGACAGGGAGACCGGAGTGGGGTAGCCGTGCTTGAGGATCAGATGGTCGAGATGGTCCCGCGGTCGGGAGGGTGACGAACGGGAGCGCGATCCAGAGGAAAGGCCTAAGAGGGTCAGGCCTGGAATGAGAGGTGACGGAATGTCACACGTGTCGAGGAGTGGAATGTATCAGGATGGATTGGGGAGGGGGAAGGAGGGGCAGACACGACAAACGGCCACAAAGATGAGAATCTCTCAAATTATTGGGCAGGGCATAGACGTATCAAGACATGATAGGTGGGTATTGGGGATCGGTGATCAGGGGAAAAGTCTATAGGATAGACTTGGAGAGAGTGGAGTATATTGCTCATTGAAGACCAATGGATATAAAAAATAAAATAAAAGACGGGGGTGTCACTTACTGTCAGAGTACGAAGTGCTGCTGAGAGAGGAGGGATAGAAGGAGGATGACGAGGAAGAAGAGCATGAAAAAGGGGAGGTGGATGCTGGTTTTAATTGTTTGCGGCGCATCGTCTGTTTCTCTCGAGTTAGCCCAAGAAGTTGGTGGACGCCTCGCTTGCGGGGGTGGGCCGCCTATCCGGAATGTCGTCATTTCCATGAGATTTGGGGAGAAAAACACAGATTAGGGGAAATTGTGAGTGAAAATTCCAAGGCCTCCCCTTCGATAGGCGTTCTGGATGGAGTCTGGCGTACGTGAAAGAATCACCCGGGCTCCACTGGGGCGCCGCAAATTCCACGGTTCCCTGCGGATGCCATCGGTGTTCCTGGACTGACCAAAGAAAGAGGGAAAAAAAGAAAAACGAGACAAAAGGAAGAAACCACGTACCATTGGGAAGATGAGAATCTATCAGTCTATAAAATCGAAAGTGAATCACCATATGAGATCACCCTATCGTATCCCCCTGGGGATTAGCCCGGAGTCTCTCTTCCGAGCTCCTGCTGATTTGCCGTGGACCGCATACAGGGGATGAGTATGGATTCTGGCACGGGTTGGACCGAGTTTCAACGGTACGGTGGACCCAGAGTCGTTTCAAGCCAGTCTAGAACGTTGGCAAGGGCCCAGTCTCATTCAAAACTGAGCGGGTGATCGTGGTTGATCGATATACTCGAGGAAATTATAGAGTCGGAATAGGATCTTCAGTAGGAAGAAGGGGGGAAATAGGAAATAAGAAGACACGGACTATGCAGAGAACGGCTGGTTTATAAAAGCTTGCAGCTGGCCAGGCACCTGTGCAACATGGGGCTAACTGCTTTACTGTTTACTAGCACCTCCTGTCCGGGGGAGATACTAGCACTGACTAGTTATACGGACTCTATGTGTCATCTGGGTACTCTCCCTTTTCTCTCGAAGGCTTCAACGTACGTTCTCCACGCGGCGTCGCCGGGTGACCCGAGCAAGCCGTTCGTTCCAAGGCACAGCCCCGGACCGAGTGTGGGTGGGTTCTTCACATCACGTACCTGATATGGGATCATCCTCGTCAACCCGATCTCCAGGGTGGCAGGCACCACGCAAACGGGCAAGCGGGGGATGAAGATCTCCGAGAAGACTGGTCATGGGTGGCTGGTCATTTCTACGATTCACCGTCTCTGAAGAGTAACCACAGTGACGATGCTCTAGAAATAGTCAGAAACAGTTCCCTACAACCACCGCCAAAAATGACCACGAATGATAATATGAATCACGAATCAGCCAAAGTAAATATCTTCATGATCGCTGCAAAGCATCGGGAAGAGTCAGGGATGTTCTAACCGACCAACCAGGACTTCAGCTCCCATGGACGATCAGCCGACACCCACACCTTCGGACCACCCTGGAGTAAACCTTCCCTCCTCTCCATCCGGATTCTCACCTATCAGCATCCCAGGCGAGAGTGTCCCGATGGTTTTCAGTGGCTAAGATGGCTGACAAACGTACCTCTCTCCATTACTCTCTCTGGCCGTTTGCTTCCCTCTCGTTCCTTTCTTCCGTTCGGTGGGAATGAACAGAAGGGGGGGGGGGAGTTGTCTCGGATGAGTGACTCTAGTCCTCGATTATGGATTTGGAGGGTGACGACCCCCGCCACATGCCATCCAAGCTGACAATAACGAGTCAGGAGGTTCATTCGAGTTGAGCTAACGAGGCTTCCGAATTTGCTTTTTTTGGTGGAGGAACCCGAGAGTCAAGGCAAGCTCGCCTAGTCGCGATATGGATATGTGTGTGGAATGATATGCATATAGATCTTGATTTTAGCCGTGCCTTGTCC